TCAATGCGCCCTAAGATGTACGGTCGAAACGATGGAATCCCTTGCTGCGATCCGCGGAGCTTCCAACGAGGTGAGCCAATTGATGCGAGCGGAACTCGCACCGCACACTCCAATGGACGGGTGCGCATCTGATGAAAACGCTGAGAACAAGGCGACAACCACTCGAATTCAAAGGGAGCTGGGACAACACCATCGCAACACGCATGGCCCTCGGCATATGCAGCGCGCCCGCTTGTACTCGGCAACAAATGATGGTTTTCTATGCGTCCCTAAGCCGATGACCATTAACCTCCTTCCTTGGCTGGTGCTTGACAGGGAGACGTCTCTAGAAGATGGCCTTGCGCGGCCGCTGATCCGCCATATACCTTCTACACCGTCGGGGTGTATTTACCCAACATTCTTGCGCTTGAGGTCCTACTGTTGTTTTCCTACGAACTGGATGGATGTCCCGAGGATTCGCCACGTTCTGGCCTGTTGCCACCCCATTGCCACCTGTGCGGGTGTCCTGGGGATTCGCCACGTTCTGTCCCGTCGCCGCCCGTTGCCGCCTATGTGGGTGCCCCGAGGATTCGCCACGTCCTGGCTGATGATGATGATGACGATGATGATGATGACGATGATGATGATGATGATGATGATGATGATGATGATGATGATGATGATGATGATGATGCGGGTGACGATGATGATGATGATGACGACGACCATGCTGATGATGATGGTGATGATGATGACGATGATGATGATGATGGTGATGGTGAGGATGGTGAGGATGTGCATCTGCAGATCTTCATGTATACATACTAGAACACTCGCACGCGCTTCGCGCGCGCTCAAGTTCTAGCTAGGGTCATGATCATCGTCATCACTGTCCTCCTCATCCCCATCATCTTCATCGTCATGGTCATGGTCACCTTCACCATCACCACCACAACAATCATTATTATCACCATTATCATCAGCATCGTGATCACCATCGCCATCATCGTCATCGTACTTTTCAGCATCATCATCCGCATCATCAACATCTTGTTGGTCGTCGTCGGCTTCGTCGTCAGCATAGTCATCGTCATCATCATCAGCGTCATCGCCGTCATCATCTCTGGTCCACTGCAATCCCCTTCCCCTCCTCTTCCCGTTCTCCCTCTTCCCATCATCTTATACTCATCCTTCTCCTCGTCGGCGTCTCCCTGAAAGGGATCCCTGTTCCTTCACCTCCCCTTCCTCCTCATCATCCTCCTCCTCCTTCTCCTCCTCCTCCCTGTCCTCCCCGCTCTTCGGTGTCTCTCCTTGTGTTCCTTCACCTACTTCACCTCCTTCCTCCTCTCGAGCCCTCTTCATCCTCTGGTGGCCCCCTCGGGCTTCCTGGGGGCACTCTTGGGCCGTCTTGTAGCTCTTCTGTGCCGTTTGAACCTCTCTTCAGCCCATCTTGGAACCCTCTTTGGGGCCTCCGGGGCCCATTTTGGTAACCTCTTGGGCCGTCGCGACCGCTGGTAGAACTGAAAAGCAAAGTTCCCAGAAATATACGTTGTTCCATAGGAAATGCTTGATGTTTGCCTTTGGAGGGCCTTCTCAGCGGCCTCTTGAACAATCGTGGGGGGGTCCTTTTGGGCGTTTTGTGGCCCGTCTGAAACCGATTTCGGCTGTCCCAAACCCCTCTTGGCATGTCATGGGTAGCTGCGCCGTCTTGGGGCCCTCATGGAGCCCCCCTCCGACCATGTAGGGATCCTCCAGTGGCTCCCTCGGGCCCCCTGAGGACTCTCTCGGGCTGTTTTGGAGCTCTCTTGTGCTGCTCGACGCTCTCTTGAGGCTGTCTTGGAGCCCTCTTGGGGGCCTCGTGGACTGGGAGCCTTTGGGGCCGACGTGGCCGCCGATGGAACATAATAAGCGCACATGATAGAAATGTACGTTTTCCATGGGAAATGCACATTTTTTGCACCCTGGAGCCTTCTCAGCGGCCTCCTGGACCGTCTTCAAGGAGTCCTGGTAGGCCTTTTTGGACCGTCTGGGAGCCCAATTCGGCCGTTCCGGGTCCCGCTTAGCCCGTCATGGGGACCTGGGCCCGTCTTGGGGCCTTCGGGGGGCCCCGTCCGATCATGTAGGGATCCTCCGGTGGCCCCCTCGGGGTTCCTGGGTACTCTCTTGGGCCGTGTTGGAGCTCTCTTGTGCTGCTTGAAGCTCTCTTCAGGCCGTCTGGGGGCCCTCTTGGGGGCCTCTTGGGCCGTCTGGGGCTCATTTTGGGAGCCTCTGGGGCCGTCGCGGCCGCTGGTAGGACTGAAAAGCAAATATCCCGTCGTGAAGCCATCTCAGTGCGCTCTTCAGCCACCTTCCAGAGTGCGCTCTTCAGCCATCTTCCAGACAACCTGGGGCGCTTGGGCGCCTCTTGGGCTAGCTTGGGAGCCTCTGGGGGGGTCCGAGGCCCCTTCTGAACACTCTTGGAGCCCTCAAGGCCCCACCTGCCCCCCATGCGAACCAAAGGTCGCAGTTCTGGGCCCTCCCCCGACCTACTTCGAGATCTACACACATATATATACACACATATATATATATATATATGTGTGTGTGTGTGTGTGTGTGTGTGTGTGTAAATGTATATATGTATGTATATATTTTCACAACGCATTTCCCAACCAATGTCTGCTCTCAATTGTTCTTCCTTATGCCAGTCAGGAATTGGATTGGTCCGCCTCGCTGCCGCGTCACCACGTAGCTTACACCACATGGCTTGTACCACATATTTTGTCAGCGCGTAGATCGCATCACATAGCTAACACCGCATATATTGCACCATATAGCTTGCGCCACATAGCTCACACATCTACCGTACTATGACTTACTGTTTGGGGTCCACGCTGGCAAATCTGGTCTCACTTGTTTGATTATCCTGCCGCCACATGCGCTTTCAATATCACGAAGCATATTAATTTGTTTTGGATTCAATGGATCACTGGCGATCGTCCCCCGATTACTGTATATGTGGGACGAATGACGAACTGACGCTATCATCGCTGGTTCCCGCTGGCTCCGTGCCAAAACCGCTCGCACCCGAAATGGTGGACGAAGCAGACGAGCAAGCGGCAACTAGTCAAACATTGGCGGCTCCTGCTTGGGCAGGTCCGTTACCTTTGCCCATCCGTGCGCTGTTGCCACCTTTGCCTTTGCCCTTCAGAAGCTGCTGCGCCTCGTACTTGAACTGGGAAAGTGTGACAGCAACATCTTTGTTGTGCTGCTGTTTCACCTCTGCTTCTGCCTTGGTTGCCGCTTCTGACTTGGTCTTGTCCTCTGGGGTGTGCTCGGGCACACAGATTCTGGCGCTGCCAGTGGCGGCTCAGCAAGCGCTGCTTCGCCGTTAGCGCCCTTTTCTCCCATGCGGTCATAGGCTCCTTTCTTGGCAGCAACCGTCTGCGCCATCATGACGCTTCTTGGGCAGAATTGTCTGACCGTGCTCAAATTCCATCTCCTCAACATGCAAGAAGAACAACTCGTCCCGCATCAGCTGAAGCTCGGCTTGGTGATGTTGTACTTGTTATGGTACTGCTCTTATTGGATCTCTGGTTGGGCTCTTTCAGTCCTGGCGAATCGGAATGACACCTTTTTTTGTCCACCCTGCCGTCTGTACGAACGGCTCCGCAGACTTGCGCTGCTACTCCTGCGCTTGGTAAAGAGCATGGCACAACTTATTAACATTGTTCATTGCCTGGATCTGCTTGTGATTTTCGTCTCTCTGGGCGCCCACAACCTTGGGTCCTGCGTGCAATCATAACGGGCGGCCATTTGTGTTCAGAAGTTGTTCCCCAAACAATGCGTGTTCTGAGGGTGCACGCGCGGCAGGGGGATCGCCCACCGCCACGGCGTCGGTCTCACCTCTCCTGCCTCCTCGCTCCTTCCACCCCCATCAGCCTTCCCTTCTCCCTCCCTGCCTCCATCCCCCATTCTGCCTCCGCCCTCCTCCTCCTCCCTCCCCCGCCCATCTTCGCCCTTCCTCCCTCCATCCCCACCCTCGCTCCTTCCTCCCTCCTACCTCCGCCCTCCTCTCTCCTCCTTCCGACCTCCTGCTCCTCCATTCTGGCGCCTCCCTTCTCCCTACAAGCACCCCCTCCTCGCTCGCTCCTCCTCTCTGCTCCTCCCTCCCTCCTGCTTCCTCCCTCCTCCGCCCTCTCTCTTCCCTCACGGCTCCTCTCTCTTTCCTCCTCCCTCCTCACTTCTCCCTCCTGTCGGAAACCTCAATTCGGGACCCGCGGGCCGGCGACATCGTCGCCGTCGTCCCGGCTCGTGTTGGCGCCCTCTCGGGGCCTGTTCGGGGCCCTCCTAGGCTCTCTTGGGGCCCTCTGGGGGCCTCGTGGGGTCTACTTGGCGTCCCTCGAGCCTCGTGGGGCCGCCTGGGGAGGTCAGGATGCCGTCCAGGGGGTCCTGGAGCTATCTTGCGACGGCCTGCGCCGTCCTGGAGCCCTCTGGCCCCCCCCCCCACCTGGCACCGTCATGGGGGAGAACGGGTCTACCGCCGAAGAGCCTCCCCCAGGGTACAGGGCAGTTTTTAAGACATTGGATTTAAAGCAATATAGGATTTTTTTAAACATAATTAATTCATGAAGAAATCCATGCGTGAACTCATCGCTGTTTTGAATACTAGATCCCTGCATTCTTAATACATGATCCGCACGTGGAACATGTATAAGAAACGGCACTGTACTGTCATAGACACCGAAACTGAGAACCGCGCTCACTTTTCAGCTGTCTTCCCCTCTCCTAGAAAAGGGGGGTAGCGTTGTAGGATGCTTGCGTCTGGGAGCAGATCGGACAACCTGAAGCTGTCTTCAGTGTGGTTGGCTCACTGTAGGTTTGTTGGCACCTTTGCATCGCATCCCACTGTTTCAGAATGACGCGTGGAGCTACCGTCTACACCCGATCGGCGATTCGGAAGACAGGTAAAAACACGCTCGAACTTTGCATGACTGAACAGTTGCGTCGTGAATTCGCTGACGGTGAAGATAATGACGACGTTTTTTGATATAGCAAGGGTGGACCGAGACGCATCACCACTTCGGAACATGTCTCGATAAGATTTGGCACGCGTGAGAGGCTTCTGTAAGAGACGCTCCTTGGGAGCCCCAGCCACGCCACCAAGGCGAACATACCTATCAATGAAGCAAGGGACGCTTCGAGGCAGCCGCAACGGACCATCGAACGAGCTGGCGCTCACAATCAGCGCAGAATGATACACCATCTGCAACACTTAGCAAGCACATTGGCATGCGCCCGCAACACTTATCGTCATGCATATGCTGCCCCCAGGTGCGCCGCGTCCAATATGGCAATCTGGCTTCGCACATGGCTCTCTGGCCTGAAGCCCGGGTGACGAGGGAGGGCGACGGGAGCAAGCTCGTCTTCCTCCTCTCGGCGGGGCTCTCATGATGGCCTCTTAGGGGCTGTCGGGGTGGCCTGTGAAGCCTTATGAGGATCCCCTGGCAACATTCTTGGGACCATCGTGAGCCCCCTAGGGCTGTCTTGGGCCCCTGTGTGCCTGTATTGGGTCATCTTGGAGTCGTCTTGGACGGTCTTGGGGTTCTCGTCGGCCGTTTTGAATTTCTCCAAACGTGCTCTTGGGCTGGGGCTCTTTTGAGCGCTCTGCCGAGGTCTCTTGGAACCATTTTCAACCGACAAGTGGGTCATCCGATATCCCAAATGCTCAAATTCCCCGGCGTGAGTTGAACGATGTTGGCACTGCGCAATGGCCTTAGAACTCACTGGTGGCGGCCTCAGATGCGTGGGGCCCTCTTATGGAACCGCATTGGCATCTTCTTGGGTCCCCTTTGCAACCTCTTGGGGCCCCTCAAGCCCCATTGGTCTGTGATGGAACAATCTTGGGCCATCCTGGGGCTGTCTGAGGCTATTGTGGGCTCCTCCAGACGTCCTCTGAACTCTCTTGGGCCCTCTTGGGGCGAACTTGGGCTGCGGCAAGGCCGTCTAGGGCCATTTGGGGACTGCTTTGGGCTCCTCTTGGGCCCTTTCGAGCGCCTCGGACACCCTCTGCAGCACTCCAGGGGCAATCATGGGCCATCTGTGGACTCTCTTGAGAGTCTGCGGAGGTCAAGCAAGCACATGCCATCACACCTTGTTTCTCCCAGCCGTCCTGTGGTGTTGGGTCCTCGTATTGAAAAGAGATCCCCGCGTCTCCTCCTCCTCCTCCTCCTCATCATCAGCATCCCTCCCTCCTTTTCCTCCTCCTCCTCCTCCTCCTCCTTCTCCTCCTCCTCCCCCCTCCTCCTGCTCCTCCTCTCCCCCCCCCTCCTCCCTCCTCCCGTCCGCCCCCTCACTTTGGCACAGCCCACACACGTTTCGTGGCCCCGTAGGGAGCTTCACCGAAGGGCCACATGCAAGCGGTCGCATGCGGCCACCGCACCCATTTTGGCGCACCCACCACACGCTTCGTGGCCCCATATGGAGCTCCACCGAAGGCCCAATTGCCTGCGCTCGCATGCGGCCGCCGCACCCATTTGGCGCACCACTCACACGTTTCGTGGCCACATAGGGAGCTCCACCGAAAGCCCACATGCCAGCGCTCGCATGCGGCAGCCGCGCCCATTCTGGCGCACTACTCACACGTTTCGTGGGCCCGTAGGAGCTCCACCGAAGGCCCAACTGTCAACCCGTTTTGGCGCACCCCGCACACGTTTCGTGGCCCCATACAGAACTCAACCGAATGCCCGCCCAGATGCCAACGCTCGCATGCGCCCGCCGCACCCATCTTGGCGCACACATCACACGTTTCGCGGCCCCATCTGGAACTTGACCGAAGGCCCAAATGCCACCGCTCGCATGTGGCCGCCGCACCCTTTTTGACACACCGCTCACACGTTTCATGGTCCCATAAGGAGCTCCACCGAAGGCCCACCTGCCAGCGCTCGCATGCGGCCGCCGCACCCATTTTGGCGCACCCATCACACGCTTCGTGGCCCCATAAGGAGCTCCACCGAAAGCCCACCTGTCAGCGCTCGCATGCGCCCACCGCGCCCATTTTGGCACACCCCTCATTCTACGTGGCCCCACATGGGGCTCCACCGAAAGCCCACCTGCCAACGCTCGCATGCGCCCACAACATCCATTTTGGCGCATCCGTCAAACATCTCGTAGCCTCATAGTGAGCTCCACCGAAGGCCCATATGCCAGCGCTCGCATGCGCCCGCCGCACCCATTCTGGCGCAGTGCTCACACGTTTCGTGGCCCCATAGGGAGCTCCACCGACAGCCCAAATGCCAGCGCTCGCATGCGGCCACCGCGCCTATTCTGGCACGCCCCTCGCACGTTTCGTGGTCCCATAGAGAGCTCCACCGAATGCGGTGCATACAACGACGGTGCCCAAAACTGAATACGGTTGGGCCCTTTGCCAAGCTAATTGTTGCTGAGGGTCTTCGAGAGGCCTTTCGGGGCCACCTTGGAGGCTCTTGGGGTCGCTGATCTTGTTTCGTCCCTTCTGGGCTGTCTTGGGGCTGTCTTGGGCCGTCTGGAGCCCCTTGTGGGCCCTCCTAAGCGTCGTAGGCCCTTCTGAAACCGTCTTGGGCCCTCGTGGGCCGTCGTGGGCTCTTATTGCATGTTCTTGGGGCTCGCTGGGGCTGCCTCGGACGCTGCTGTTGAGGCGTCTTGGGCGCTCCGACGCTGGTAAAAAGCCACTGTGCGAACATCACGCGGGGTCGGAACTTTAGAGGTGTCCTCTCGGGACCGCCTTAGAAGCCTCTTGGGGCCGCTTCGGGGCCGTTTTTGGGGCTTCTTGCCTGAATTTGGGTCGGTCTGGGGCCTACCTAAGCCATCTTTGCCCCTTCTGAGTCGTCGTCTTCGGGGCCTCTCGTAACCGTCTTGGGACCAACTGGGCCTCCTCATGGGCAATCTTCCAACTGTGGTGCCATCTCGGAGCCCTCTGGGCCGTCCAGAGCCTAATCGAGCTTGCGGCGGAAGGTCCAGGGGGAAGGAGGGGATCTTACCGTGCAGTGGAGGCCAGTCCACGAGAAGCCTTCCGCAAGCAACCTTGAGACCCTAGGACGTGCATCGATTCTTGGTTTGGGAACGTCACGCCTTCCACAGCAAAACCATCGAGACCCAAGACACCCAAGGCACCCTGGAGGCCATCAGGGTCTTTCCTGGCGTGGGCCTCCACTGTACTCCAGGAGCCCCTGGTGTGTGCTGCGGCCCCAGGCCGTCGCATACTGAGCTTAGCGCACCTCGCAACAAAAAATGCAAGACGTGTTGGAAGCGGTAGGCTTTGAAACCGACGCGTTCAAGGCTGAAAACGCTTAATGGGCCCTGGAAGCGACAAGACCGTTTTTTTCACAAATTCCGTTTTGCTGTTTTTTTTGCCAATTCCGACGCCGTTTTTTTACCAATTCCGTCGCCGTTTTTTTTCCGGCTCCAGCTCCGGTTCCAATCCCAGAGCAGTTTTTTTGCTGTTTCTGGTCGCCGTTTTTTTCCGTCTCCATTTTCGAAAAACACTTTTTCGGAAACGATGAAACGACGGCCCTGCCGTTTCTGGGGCCCACTCAGTGAAACCGTGCTTTGAGGGACTTCCGTATACTGGATGGGCATGGGCCTCCACTGTACTCCAAGAACCCCTAGTGTGCTGCGCCCCCCCCGGACCGTCGCACACCCGTGTCTCCGAGCCCAGCGCCGCTCGCAAAAAAAAAGCTGCACGACCTGTTGGAAGCGGTGGGCTTCGAAACCGACGCGCTCAAGGCTGAAAGCGTGCTCTGAGGGGACTTCCGTACACTGGATGCTCCTTGGGGGTGTGCGGCTCAGAAGGCTCCCGCGGCCGTTGCACTCGTGGGGTTCCTGGAGGGCCTCGCTGGGCTTCACGGGGGCTGCGCAGTCCTCCTGGGAAGGCCCTGCAGGGCGTGAAGGCATTTGTGCCACCTCTGTGGGAACGCCTCGCATGTTGTCTTCAAGAGGTTTGCATCGCCCATGCATCCATGTGTAAAAACCCATCGGAAGCTGCCGAGGGTTACCCGGGAAATCCCCGAGGCCCTAGTAGTGTTAGGTCGGGCGTGTCCACCTACAGGCGGATTCTGGAGGACAAATAAATAATTAATCAACAAATGCTGAATAACGGCTCCTGAGGGCTTCTGCGAAGCCTTTGCAAATTCGCGGTGGGATTCCTGGAGGTTCCCTCAAGGCTCGAAGGAGGCTGCGCGACTCCTCGGGAGCGCCTTGCCGGTCTTGAAAAATTGTGCCTCCAACTCGTCGCTTCGCTCGGCGTTCCTCCTGCGAGGGGCCCTGGTGGGACTGGATCAACGAATCCTATACATGAAGGAGGTGTAGGAAGGGAAGATACAACGAGGAGTGGGGGAAACGTTCCCGACCTGCGCTCCCTGTGCTCCTCCTGAGCCTCCTCCTCCTGCTCCTCCTCCCCCTTCGCTTCCTACTCCCCCGTGGTTGAGATCTCAAGGGGCTCCCTCAGCCCTGGGTCCTGTTTTGGGGCCTCGTGTTGCACTTCTGAGGTTTTTGGGGGTATTTCTGTTGTCTTTTGGGGCCGCTTTAAAGCCTCGTCGGCCAAATCGGGATCTCGATGCGGTGTCTGGGAGGTTGCTGGGTACATGCACTTCGGCGCGCTTTCACGACGCCAAGATTTTCCTCGACGTCAGAATGCAACATTTTCCTGGTGAACCTTTCAGGAAACTCTAGGAGATGTTTGGGTGCCTCTCGGAAGTTTCTTAGGTCCTCTTGCGCCGTCTCGGCACGTGTTGGCGCTCTTTGGCGGCTGGAGCAGCCCCATTGGGACGACTGGCGGACGCGTGCTGGAGTGAGCGCCTTGGAAATTTTTTGGGCAGTCTTGGGGCCGTATCGGGGACATTCTGGGCTCTCTTGGGAATCTCTTGTGGACGTGTTAAGGGTGCCTTACAAGCCTCTTGGACCGTTTTGGGGCTCCTCGGGCCATCTTACTCCCCTCTGGGCCAGCCGGGGGGCCTCAGAACAGCCTAGAAGCCGTCTTGGGGCGCTCTTAGGCTGTCTTGGGCTCACCCTGACGCCCTCGCCGGCTCTGTTGGGGCAGAACTTGGCCATCTCTGGACTTTTTCCTGGCCCTTTTGGGCGAACTTTGGCTCATCCGAGGCCCTCGTGGAGCTGCATTCATTCGAAATGTGTGAAATCCCCGGTGCATTTATTTGAAATGAAAAACCTACACATTGTGGAGGTCTGGGAATCTTCTTGGGTCTCTTTTGCAATCCTGGGGCCGCCTTGGGGCTATATTGATGCCTCTTGGGCTCTCCTCGATTCGTTTGGCAGCACTTCTGGGACAAGTTGGAAAACACTGGGCAATTTTGCGAGCCACCGTAGCCTCTGGAGACAGCCCAGAGGAGGCTCGGGGGAGGCTCCAAGGGGGGGAGGCGCCTCTTGAGGGTTTCTGGGTGCCCCTGGTGTGCTGCGGCCTCGAAAGGCCTGGGGTTCGCGTATATTGGAGTGGAGCCACATGTCTTTGAACTTGTCGATCTACAACTGCCAGCACGTGGTGAATCTGTCGTCACCGGGCCTGGGTAGCGGCCCAGGATCCGCAGTAATTGCAAGAACACCTGGCTGCGCCCTGAAAGCTACTGGGCTGCACCCAGCGCGCCTGGTTTACTTCACCCAAAAACCCACAGGCTGGTCTCGCGAAGCTCAAAAAGTGGGGGGTCAGATGGACCTGCAAACATACTAGGCGGACCCCCCAAACCCCCAACCTGTACTCGATGATCTCCAGTGAACCCACACTTTTTGGTACCTGGCTGGCACCGCAAAAAACCCTAGCATTGGTACTGGGCTGGGCCCGCAAAAATAGCGGACTGGATACCAAAAGCCATATTTGCAAGCACCAAAATGGCGCCACTGACATACCAGGATGGAACCGCCACGGTACTGGGTTTGGCGAACATTTCGCAAACAAGCTTTTGTGGGGTACTGGGCCACTATTTGTTTACATACTATGGAATTAGCCGGATGAGTCGGTGGACGCCAATTGCCGGCCGCTCCCGCTGCTGCCCTCACGTGCTATTGCACGACAAATACACATATGTTTTGACATTTTATTGGCAAGACCGAAAATCAATACCACGTGCCGGCGATAACAGCATGCAGTGGGATTCGTTGCCATTGCTAGTAAGTGTCCAGTTGCAGAAAACAAGGCCATCGTTGCACTTATACATTGCTGGATGCACTGCTCTAGACATCAACCTCTGGAATGCAGCGAGACGGCTTCGTGATTCTTTGGCGATCCACCTGTGTGAAGTGCAAGAGGTCTGAAGAACACAGGCAGAAACAACAACTATCACTCGGCATCGGAAATCGCATGCAACGGTTTATTAAAACACTCAATCGCCTGCTCGAGAATTTCCTTCCGCGAGAGCAGCATCTCTCGCTCCCGCGTGACCTTGTTCGGTTCCTGGATGCGATTCGTACACTCATTCACTTTGCTGCTACCAATACGGATGGATTCGAGCAAATTAAGGAACGAGTTTTCTGCTGCCAATACAGTTGTACGGAGCAGCTCTTTAGAAGCTATCTCTGTGATGTATTTTCTTTGGACTTTGATGAATGCACGCACATTGTGGTAGATATGCCTGAAAGATCCGTTGTCTGAAGCCATGTCTGTATCAGCCGCCACCATCTTCTGGACCAAATCGCTGAGATAATGGTCGTTGGAACTGAAGATCAAGTCAGGCTCGGTGTTATGAGCGGCAATGCTTTCGATCGCAAGGTCTGAGACTTGGCGATTTGTCTCGAGTTCTTCCTCCATGCATTCCCGAAGGTGCTCACCGGCGCGCTTACCACTTTCAGGAATATCTTTGTACAAAAATACTGTATCGAACAAGGCGGCCAACTTCGTATCGATCAGATCTCGTGAGCTTCGAATCTTCGAATCGTAATGCTTGGCGAAATCAGCTGCGTAAGATTCGATGATGGGCTGGCGGTCGGCATGCATAATGTTCCGCGTGCCTCGACTTTGAATCAAGAGCCGTATGTCCTCAACTATACATTGGGGTGATGTCACTTCTGCGGTCCAGATTTCTTTATGCGCAGTAGTGCCTGTCCTTGGCTCCGCGCCCTCAGCCGCGGCCGCCTTTTCTCGCCACGACACTTTTTCTTTTGTGGCGCTGGTGACTATAGCAGCGAATCTTTCATTCTCCATCTGAACATAAATCTTCTGGCCGACCTCCAGAGGTTCGGAAAAATCGTCTCTTTTACACAAGGAATTGTTCGCCGTTTTGTTGATGGGAGAAATTTCATAATTCTTGATATCCATGGCCATCGTGTGCAGCATCTCCCTCACTTGATTCATTAACGTGCGCTTCTCTCTGTCAAAGGTTTGCCCCATTGTGTAAGCCATTTGTAAAAGAACTTCTGAAGGGGTGCGCTCTCGAATTTTGTCGATCTTCGCGATGGTGTCAGCAAGGGATGTTTTTAATGCCTTGACTGCTTTCGGGTACTGCATCTCCAGGTGAGAGCGCATGCGGTCCTCAAGATGCTTGGCGAGAGGAGCAACACCAACACGAAGACCACAACCTTTCATGCGCGAGTCATTCTCCAACATCTGCCGCATCTTGGCCTCCTCCGCCGCCTCCTCCTTGCCACTGGCGCGACCATGTACAGCGAAGGTGCCGCTGCTGTTTTTGGCTGTGGCGCTGAGCGTGTTTTCCAGAAGCATGGAACTTTCAACAGACATATCCTGGAACTTGTCGCAATGTGTAAGAACTGTGACGCGCGAAGAATCATCCTTGCGAACTTGACGCATGAAATCGTTCCCAAGCACACTGGCATAATCTTGATCGCCTCTGATGACATGCAACGTAAGGGTCCCGGCCATCTCGACATACCGCTTGACCATCTCGTTGACAATTTTCGCACCCTCATCATTGTCGTTGTGGAAGCCTGGGAGGTCCACTAAAGTTACGTTGGGCTGATCAGGGCCGCAGACCCGGATTGTGACAGTGTGATCGTCCACAAACTGTTTACCACTACTGCTCTCCAGCGCCTTCATCTGGGCCTTCTCGACAGCGACGTGCACCCTGTCTGGCTCCGAAAGTGGTTCGTTGGACAACTCCTGGCCCGAAGGTCCTACCAAGACAACGTTGATCGCCGGGTCCTTCTCGCGGCGCATCTGCACGAGTGTGGCGATGCGGGTGCACAGGGTGGCCGCCTCGGGCAGCGTCACCCCGCTGATGCGGCGGATGACGGAGCTCTTCCCGGAGGACTGTGGACCGCACGCTACAAACTGCGGCAGGGAAGACAAAATCTCTTCATAGAAGCGTTGCTCGTCGTGCCCCCCCTTCAAGCCGGAGAGGGTCGTGCGAACTTGATCAATCCTGTCCAGCATGCTCTTCAGTGAGTCTGCGTCATCAACGCACCACATCGATCAATATTCTCACAGCGCAAATGCAAACGACCGCTGGGCTGCACTCTAGCCAAAAAGGTTACATCCTTATTTGCGTTGACGCGTGCTAGTGCGAGTGCCCAAACGGGCGCACCAAACTTCTCATGCAACTGCTACTTGAGCTGTTTGAGAGTTGTGTTGCAGAGCGTGCTATTGCAACGCGGTCCTGCTGTCGTGGCGAGCGCACTTCCCAAGGGGGTTACTTTTCTGGAGTGGGCGAGATGGAGGAGGCGAAAGAAAGTCCTTTCAGGAGCCGGGCGCCGGACCACGTATCAAACACAGCGACGCTGCGCATCCGCACTCCCGAAGAAGATCAAACACCAGGGGCTCTGCGCAAAAAGAGAAAAAGGTAAGCATCGTGCGCGCGCGAGGCGCGGTGTTGCGTGGCGGTCCGTAGTCTCTCAGGACGGCAGCTTGCAAATAGTCCTGGGAGTCTGCTGAGCACGGGGGAACACTCATTTGCTGCAGCAGACGCATCTCGGTTCTTTTCTTCAACAAGCAAAAACGAATACGCCTATGGGCTCTGCCGGGTTGGCTTGCAATGCTATTTGGCCTTGGAGGGGAACAAAAAGGTGGTGGGGTGGGGGCAAGGACCAGGCTGGAAAAGAAATGAGTTCCGTGAATGAATGGTGGGTGAGGAGGGAGGGGCGCTTGTGTGAATACAGCCGCCCCAAAGAATTGACCTCGAATGAAAAACAGCCAAACCTCCCTGGTTTCCGCCCGTTTCGCCCAGTCTCGAATCCGCCCGCCGCGCGTGTACGCGCACGCCAGCTCACGCGCGCCCTTGCATCGCAAGACGGTTTAAGAGGGCCCAAGGTGGCTCATGAAGACTCCCCAAACAACCCCAAAACGGCCCAAGTGGGCATTAAACCGCCCCAGGAGACCCTCAAGACGGCCTCTGGGCGGCCCCAAAGGGTTACCAAGACGGCCCAGAGACGCACCCAGGACTGCCTCCGAAGGCGCCAGACGGCCTGCGAGAGCCCGAAAACGGCCCAAGACGCCCAACAGGCCCCCAACACGCAAGCAGCAGCTCGAAGACGTCACCAAAAGGCCTCTAAAAGCCCCTCTGGAAGGCCGAAGTTCATATACTTTACACGTTCTTGTCATGGACCTCGCGAAGCGAGAGGAATCCACGTCCAGAAGTGCCGTGATGCTGGAGGCAGGTCTGCGAAGGCTGTAGTGCAATCTATCCCGTGTGTCCAACCATCCGCCACCGTGCCTGCGGCGCGTTGAAGCGTGGAAGAATGCCAAGGGCTACCTGGCAGGCTTTCTGTAGTCTTCTAGGAGACCCCCCCTTCCGCGGGATGCGCCCAGCCATAGTTTGAAGGGGGCTGGAAGGCCCAGCCGACAGCTTCGCCTCAGGCGAAGCCAAGCCCCAGCTCACTTGTATCGTAGTAGCGATAGTCCCAGAGAGGAGATGCCATCTGAAGCAATCGGAAGATCCTTTTGGTCTCGATAGCGATTGTGTGCCTCGCAGCGAAGCGCAGTCAAATTTGGGCGGCCGGCCGCTTGAGCCGACGCAGCCGCGCTCGCTTCCACTCCTTGCGTCCCTCAGCTCGCTTTAGAGTCGGGGGGGGGGGGGGGGGGGGGCGAAGCGTGAGCCCGTCGCCCCTATGCAGCAGGCGTAGCAGCTAACCTACACGAGGACAGAAAAGGAAGCGGGCCCAAAGGAAGGTGGACCCGCTAGCAAGTTGCCTCGCATGTGTATGACGTACTTGTCAGGCGGCGTCAGAACTTGATGTCTGGCCGGCCCGATAGAGTATGTCTCTTCAAGGCATGTTTGAAAGTCTGTATGCCTCCCATGACTTGTAGGAGCACTTCTCTGTCGATGCTCCCCTTGGTGTGGCACACCACTAAATGCAGTGCACGATTCCACGCTTCATTATCTGTCGTATCCAACTGATGTGTCCTAAAAGGGTGCACTCAGTCGGCTTCTTCAAGTCTTTGCTTGACGAGGACTTACAAACAGACTCAGCATCGATGGTCGGAGTGACCTTGATGCTCAGGCCACCCAACTCAAGTATATCTTTCAACTGAATGGGCGTGAACGGCCCCGCGTGGAGCTCGTGCAGAGTCACAATCGTGGGATAGCAGCCCTCCAAATTATGGGATGCTGCTAGTGTCTCTGCTGAATAACTCGGGCGGACCTGCAAGCGGTGAGACTTGCAGTGCGCATCAATCAAGTGAACGACAGGCTTACCAGATAACGTGTTTCCACGTCGTAGCAGGTTTGCCTCGCGAATACCATAGCCTTTGACATCGTCATCAGCGTCTCCACTCAGGCGTCGATCTCCTGAGTCGCTATGTAAGTCGACCTCGCCTGTGGGGTTCATCGCCTGGTAGACGATCTTCTTCGGGCAGGCCTGTAGTTTTCTGGTGATCGCGTTCAGTCGTCGTACTTGAATGTTGGTCGGTTCTTGGACGCGTTGTAGAGATACCTCATGCACCATTAACCGCGCCTGGACCCGTGAGACTGACGAACATGTCTGCCACCATCTTGGTTGCTTGCGCGTCAGCGTCGGCGCCGGTTAGTTCGGACTGTTGCATAGGGCGGAGCTGTTTGATCTATTCATCTTGATCCAAAGTGACATTGCCGTCCTCGTCCTTGGTGTATCTCACAGCACAGTTGGTATATGTGTGCTTGTTGAGTTTACACTTGCCGAAAGTATCTCCAACGCATTTGATATATTTGTCAATGGTGCCCTCAGTGCCGGCCATATCAATGCCATTAACATGCTTGGCCGTGAGCAAGTTATTGCCCGTCTCGAACTCCTCGTCGTAGGACGTGGGTCGGAGGCCAAATCCTCTGGTGGCTCTTCTATGCTTAAATGAGAAAGCCAGTGGAGCGTCCCTAGTGCCTGTGCCCGGCTTCAAGCGCTGTAGGCAGTGCTTTGGCTCGTCGTAGCGCTCGAACCCTGGAAGAGCACGGAGCACGGTGGCCGATCCAGGCGGCGAGGTAAAACGCGCGCCGCGTTCCTTTTCACCAGTAGCTTCAGCAAGTTCCTGATAGGTCAATCCCTTCAGGAAAGCCATGTTGATGTCGAGAGAAACAATGATCCACTGCTTCTTGCACGCTGCCGTGCTAGCGAGTAACCTCTGGCTTGGCCGTCTTGCTGTTCCCGAAAATGTTTCGACGTCGAATGCTTCGGGGTCCATGAAGCCTCAGAGGACCGAGCGTAGACGGATGGTGCGTTCCATCTCGCCCTTCTCGTTCTTCACGAATTTCCGTTTGTGCACGTATCTCGAAATCATGATGTCGACGCTTTGGCTATCTCATGCATCTTACAGCATTTGTTGTCGAACCGTGTCTTGCGCTCAGTGAAGAGGGCCTTCGATATTTTATCGGGATTCGCCTGGATGTCAGCTTTAGTGAGGAGGTCGTCTTCCCTGACGACTACAGCTCGTTTCAGCGGCGGTAACGTATACTCGCATAGTGGTCATCCGGTCGGCATCTAATATCATGTGTTGCTGCTCGGACAAGACTACCTTCGACATTTCTGTCGTAAAGCATAGTTCAATGTATCGACCATTTTCGTCTGCGTCGAGTCCAGGGCTGTCGTCTTCGACCATGGTGCACATGGGGGCGTAGTACGTCTCCTCGGTATCGGAATCGCGAGTGCGTCCCCACTTCGGCAGGTGTCCCCGCTGTTCATCAGCTACAATGATCAGCGCACTCTGATCTGGAACCATCTGTGTCGGTATGGCAAAGAGGTCCTCTGGTGGAGTCACCTCCAACAACTCCCTTTCCTCTTGTAGTTCTGCGTGCCGCACCTCCATAACGTGCGTCTCAAGATCAGCTTCTGATTCTTCGTAAATCGTAGAGAGACGTCCGTCATCATGTGCTGGTTCGGCTTCTGAGGCTTCTCATGCGGTTCCATCCGGTGTCGGTGTATCAGCCAATTCCTCAAATTCTGACATGTCCTGATCAAAACCTGCTTGAGGTTTAGTGGACTTCAGGCATTGGATGACTCGTGAATGTGCTGATCCAGTTTTATCATGTATATTCAGAGCAGTACATTCTGCTTCGTAGTAATGAAATCCTGGAGTCACGTCGTTGTCGTAATGAACCAATGTGCAGCTGTCGGCATACGGAACCGGAGGTAGCTTATGGATGCTCTTGGCTAATCTGACTGAAACTACATTCTCAATGCGAAAGAAGTTTCTGATAAGATATTGCAGGGCCAAGTGTACCTTAGGGGATAGACGGCTTGCGGTCGTCATCTGAAGCGTCCGCCAAAGGTCAAAGCAGGCGTCCCCGCTGATGGGCTGGCTACGAATGTCAACGCTGTGCGTGGTGCAATGTTGTCGGAGCCACTTTCTCGGGCTATGAGTGCTTCGATGTTTAATGAATGCCTTGCGTCGCCGTATTGTACTTGAACATCTCGATCGCCCACTCGGACGATGACCTGACCACTTTGGGGATCATTCTTTGCGACTGGGAACGGGCCATTCCAGCCTCCCCAGTCATCCTTCGTGGTCGTAAGGCGATGGTAGTCGACCAACTCTCCTTCGTCATAATAGTGCTGACCGGTAATTGTCGTCTTAGTGCGTAAGGCACGAATGGTCTTAGCTACTGCTGTGGCCTGTGTGGTGGCTTCAATGCATGCCCTGCGGATCGTCTGTTCACGAAAATGATCCGATGTTTCCGTCGGCTGCTCGTGGTCCAGAACAGGAAGGTCAGGGAGCATTGCTGGTTGCCGTCCATTGAGGGCGCGCCGCTGGATCCCCCAAAGGGGGGGGGGGGTCGGACCCCCCCCCCCCCCCCTTTCCCGAACCGTCGTCGGCGAACCCCCCCCCCCCCCTTTCCCCGGCTCGCGCCCCGGCTCCGGAACCCCATCCCTACCACCCCCGCCCCGACCCCCCCGAACCCCTAACCTCTAACCCAAACCCTGAACCCTAATCCTTAATCCCTAACCCGAAGCCTAAACCCTAACCGTAGACCTAACCCTGACCCCAAACCCTAACACTAAGCCTAGCCCTAACCTAAGCTCTAAACTAAACCTGAACCCTTAACCCTAGCCCTCAACCCTAATCCCTAACCTCAACCCTACCCCTCACCCTAAACCCTAAACCCTAACCCTAACCCTAAACCCTAACCTCAACCCCAACCCTGACCCTAAACCCTAAACCCTAGCCCTGAACTCTAAACCCTAACCCTAAACCTTAACCCTAACCCTAAACCCTAACCCCCAAAACCCTACACCCTAAACCCTGACCCTAAACCCT